TTTTCTAGAACTGCAATAAATTTTGTACTTAAATAAACCAACAAATTTGGTATTAAATAATCTATTTAATAAAGTGGGTCTTTTCAAATCGAAATCTTCTGTTGTATTATATTTTTGTGTAAATTTAGCTGTTGTTTTCAAGGTACTAATATTTCGAACTTGGAAACAACGGCAACGTATGATGAGAAAACAGAAGAATTCGTGCTACATACACCATCAGTTTCGGCAACGAAATGGTGGTCAGGTGGTCTTGGAAAGTCGTCAAATTATGCCATAATTCCTGCCCAACTTATCATTAATGGAAGCAATAAAGGCTTACATATGTTCATTGTTCAACTCCGAGATCTTGATACTCATATGCCTTTATCTGGTGATTAGAATTTGTATTTCTGAGTAGTGATATAGATATGGAGAAATCACTATTTTTAAATAACAGTATTTAAGACTGCTCTGTGTGCAAAAAGTTTATAAACTCCACGCTCGTTTTGAGATTGCGATTGAAAATTACTTGGTGAGGAAAGCTTAGCTCTAACATGCGCACTTACAATCGTATTTATAACTTATTCTTTGCGCAAATAAGTTTTATAAATACTCAATTCAGGCATCACAGTTGGAGATATTGGTCCTAAAATGGGCATTCCTGGCAGTGACAACGGATTTCTTATATTTAACAACTATCGCATCCCACGTAAAAATATGTTCATGCGTTATTCACAAGTAAACTTTTTTGTTAATTTATATAATTGTCATTTTGATGACTTCATAAAGTTTCTGATTTTTCGTTTTTTTTTTTTGCAATGATTAGGTCTTATCAAATGGTGAATACATTGCTCCGAAAAATTCCAAATTGCGTTATGGTACAATGGTATTTGTACGGTCAATTATGGTACGACATCAGGCTATGCAATTAGCTGCCGCAGTTACAATAGCTATACGTTATTCTGCTGTTAGAAGGCAGGGAGAGTGGAAACCTGGGTAAGTCTTTCGTTGCAAAAGTATGATTCACAATTTGTTTTCTTGGAACTCTCTTCAAAAAAATTTCTTGCTATCCGATATTTTGTTAAATATCGTTATGGTCATGTTAAAATTTACGGCTTCGGCATTTGCATCCATAATGTTCAGTTTTTAAAATGCTGCAACTTTTCAGTTTGAAAGAAGTTCAAATACTTGATTATCGAACGCAACAGTATCGGATTCTCCCTTACCTTGCCCAGTCTTTTGTGTTTTTATTTGCTGCCACAGAAGTAAAAGATTTATATATGAAGGTATTTTTTTTCTTCAGCAATATATTACAAGACAAGAGAGAAATGTTCTTCTTTTGATCATTCTTTTCTTTAAATTTTTGATGATATGTACTCTAGATTCCTCATTCATGAGTATTTTTTCTGACTGGCGTCCAAGATTTTTCAAATCATAGTTAAAGCTCATAAATTTAAGGTCAGCGAACAACTTTCGCATGGTAATACTGAATTGCTACAAGAACTACACATCCTTTCTTCAGGCTTGAAAGCTGTTGTCACATGGGAAATTGCAAAGGTCTGTAACTTTTCTTTTGATTAACGGAACTATATTTGTTTGTAAAATTTCAAAATGATCAATAAACAGAAATTCAAGTTTTTATTTTTGAATCATGTATAAACAGTCGTATATTTCCGAGAATGCAGACGGTGCCGTTTTCTTGAAATTTATGTATCTGGGAATTCTGTGTAGGGTATAGAACAATGTCGATTAGCATGTGGTGGACATGGTTATTCACATGCATCGGGTTTGCCGGAAATTTACTCTTTCGCTGTTGCTGGTTGTACATACGAAGGAGAAAATATTGTCATGCTGCTTCAGGTTGCACGGTGCGTTGTTTTAAACTTAACCCTTCTTTTTCCACCTTTATGGAGAAACTAGAATTGTTTGGATCATAGCAATTATTAACATTATTAACATTGCAAAAATTATTAACATTGCAGGTTTTTAATGAAAACAATTAAAGAAATACGGTCTGACAGTGCTCATCTAGCAGCAGTTGCCAGTTATTTGCTTGATGGTAGGAGATATAAGTCTAGTTTTCGAATATGGCGAACTGTTAAATATGAGGATTTAATTGGAGATTTCGAACAAGTCGCTAGAAACCAGGTGATTTTGTAATTACATAGTGTGATTCTGCTATTTGGCCAGCTTCCGAGGATACTTGATAGAAATGTGTGAATGGAAATGACGGATCAGGAGCTGAAGGATAATTCAGGATAGGCGGATTTAGGGTAATTATGCTGGCGTTTATTCTAATATCAACTAGTTCGTCGCGCTGAAATTTAGGCTATTTAGACTAATTTTTTGGTTGAGACCACCATGATTTTTCAATTGTTTCCCTTGTTATATTTTTTACGTTTAGTTCTTTCCGAAAATTCGAAAATAATCAATGCTGTATGCATTTATCAGTTTACAGATTTACTGGACATTTGATTATCTGCAACAGCTTCAAAAAGATAATCGTTCTCCTGACGATGCTTGGAACTGCGCTTCTGTTGAGCTATGTCAAGCAAGTCGAGTGGGCATTATTAAAGCTTTCATGCTTGTGTCATTTTGTTACACAGCAACTTCTATCTGTCATTTTATCTTGCTATAGTAATTACATCTTCTAACACTTACAAATGAAAAGAAATCTAAAAAAATATCGAAATTTTTTAAAACGATTCGGAAAATTTACATAAATTGAAAAAAATTTCGAAGCATCCGACAAATTTTTGTCTTTCAAAATTTCTTTCACTCCATTCCCTTTTAAGGCTTACATTAAAATTGATATTTTAAGCTGCAAAGTTAGTACCTCTAGTTTTCAGTTGCATATTCTTTGTTTTATGGCAAAAAGTTATTTCTCAAGAATAGCACAGTGCAGAGAACCAGAGATCGCACGAATATTAGACCTGATTGGCAAACTTTACTTGCTTCATGAGATTTCCGCTCATTGTTACTCTTTCAGAAAGGTAAGTCACAAAAAAATGTTGTTCTGCTTATACGAATCAACTCCGAACTTTCATTCATTGATGCAATGTTTTATGCGCACGAATAAGTAACATTTTGAGTTCTTGCGATTAGTAAAGAATAGTTCATCATATGTCTTTAAAGCAAACATGGGTAGGATGATCCTTATCTTGCTGGCATTTGCGTTCCTGGTAAAAATATTATATGGAAATACGTCTCACTTATTCACAGAAACATTTTTTAAGGCAGATTATATGTCAGATGAACAAATGAAAAACGTAAAGTGTGGTATCTATGAAATATTGGGAAATTTACGTCCGGATGCTGTGGCCATAGTAGATTCATTTGATTTTTCGGATCGTGAACTTCATTCTGTTCTTGGTCGACGTGATGGTAACGTTTATGCGGCAATGCTTGAATGGGCAAAATATTCGGAGTTGAATGAAACTGAGGTAAGTACTTAATTCTGGCGGAATGGAGTTCCACTTCAGAATTATTGCTTCCAAGAAATAAAGGTATTTCATTTGTAACTGTGAAATTCAAAATCCACACGAGACTTTTCATGAAATTGTCCTTTTACCATCAGTGAGGTTTATTTCGTAGCATTTGCTTAACGATTCAGTAACATAATAAATATAGAAATAAAATGAAACAAATGTTTATAAGCAGACTCTTACTATAGGAATAGTAACTCTTCTACTAATTAGGAACTGAACTTATACTGAATTCATGTGTGATGTAAAGGTTGTATTTGAAAAAGAAGACGTGGTCTCCAATGAACAAATTATAGAGTGAAAAGTTTTGTATCGAACAATTTCAATTCTGGTATCTTTTAGTGTTTTGTTTTGCAGGTACTGTCAACATTCAAGAAGTATTTGGGACCTATGATGAAGGATGGCCGATCAAAAATTTAAATTTCTTAACTGTTTTTTTCTAATTTTTTATATATCTTTAAGTAAATTATTACTATCTGTTGTTTTTTAAAATAAAATAAATTATTACTATCGTGAAAGAAACAATTCCATATTATGGCCTTTAGTCCAGTTTCACTTCTTGTTTTCTCGTTCAACATAATTAGAGCTTTTAACACAAGCAAGATCCAGACGATATGTAGACGATATTGTTACTGTTTGCTGTAGTAAAGAGTACTTCTTGTAACGTCCATTTGTTGAGTATCGGAAGCATGCTACATATCCAAATGCTGTTTATTTATGGTCAACTTTTCATTACAATTGATGTAAGCATAGCTATCTTCATAACACGAGTAGATTTACTGCCAACATTCAATTGTTGTTTTGAACTGCATAAATATTTCTCCAGATATATGGAGAAGCCAAAAGATACAGCTTTGATTGAACAACGTCCATTTGTACTCAAAAAATGGACTGCATTAGCAATGTGGTCATGGGATGTCGAATGTGACATTTGTGCGATATGTCGAGTACAACTAATGGGTTGGTTATTTATGCAAATTCTTTAATGAGCACTCAATGAAGCTGTTGTGATTTGACTTTTTCATCGAAATTTTCAGATGCTTGCTTACGATGCCAGTCAGAAAATAAGCAAGACGACTGTGTTGTGGTATGGGGTGAATGCAATCATTCGTTTCATAATTGCTGTATGGCTTTATGGGTAAAGCAGAACAATCGTTGTCCTCTCTGTCAGCAGGTATTTCCAACTTTTTTGAATTGGGAGTGCCCAGTTTATATTTCAGTATGCCATTCTTTCGGAGATATCTGAATTATCCTAAATTTACTAGAAGAATTGGATAGACCGTTCTGAAGTAAACAATTTTTGGAAGAATATAAAGCTACAGTTACTGTTAATGGGGTTGGTTTTCATAGTAATTATGTATCTGCTCAACCTTCGTTGACTAATAAATGAAAGAAATAATTAATCCTTGCATCACATTGTCATGACTTTTTTAGGATTGGCAAGTGCAAAGAACGGGTCACTGAATTCGGTATTTTAGATATTTTGCGATATTTTAATTTTTATGCTAGCAATTTAATCAGTAATCTCCAAAGTTGATCGATGCCATTTTTTATACATAGCTGTGATTCTTGTAACTACTTTTGTGTCTTCTGTTTCTCCAGGGTCGTTGTTTTCTTTTGTAAAATAGTAGAAGGGCTGAAACATTATTTCTTATTTCTCATACATACTTTTTGATATATTTATTTCATTCATTGCTTGAATTACTTTTTTTTTACTGCTTCAATCATTTTCCATTAAATCTGGCAGCAATTTGTGATTGAAAACGAGATGAAATAAATCTTTATTTCGGAACTTTAAATGTTGTTTGAAATTACGAATGGAAAGTGTAGTTCAATTAAATCTGCATTCTCTTTAAAAAAAAGGTTTACACTCCAAAATTTCATTTCTTATTAATAGCCACGTTCGTTTAGCTTCCTTTACAGGATATTACTTTTACTATGATCTGTTAATGATCGAAAAATATAGCAGGTAACGTTTCCTTTTCGATGTTGACAAAAATCCTTCGTCTGAATTATATAGGCAAAATTGCCGTTTCCGCAGATCACTCCAAATAATCCCCCAAGAAGCCATCTTGCTGTTCGTTCTATTCGATTTTTAGATTTATTGATATTGTCATCCGTCTGCTGAAAATTATTTTCAGTTTTTCAAAACAGCTGAACTTTTTGTTCAGAAATGGAATTTCCTCCTCACGAATCTTAAGATTTTGTCTTTACTAAAAAACTTAAATTTTTAAACTTAAGTTTAACCAACGAAAATTACTGTTTTAGTTCTTTTAGGGTTGATTAAAGCGTTGATATTTCCTGAAGATATTACAATCATGTTAGAACCCTTTATCGCGTAGAAGTTAATTCGTAAAAATAAGGAGAGTATATATTTTAAATCTAATTAACTTTTGTTGAGGTAATTTATAGTTTTGCAACAGAAATGACCAACTCCAGTGATTATCTGTCTCAATAATTCATTATTGCAGACCGGATCCACTTCTTGAAGTTGATCGTTGCCAAATGATGTTCTTTTTACATACCGAAAACGACATGGAATTGAACAGTTTGTGCAGCAGTCATTCTGTAAATAAAATATTGTTTCTGAAATAGGAAACTTAGAAATTAATTCCGAGAATTTTGGAATTTAATAATCTGACTTTTAATATTCACGCGATCAATTCCTCAGTAAATTTAGTAATACCTCTGGTGGTACGGTGAAATCATCGGTACCACATTTACTGCCATTCAACGAACAATTACTTTTTATCAGGTATTTAGTTTCATGTTTCTGGGCGCTCTTTGTTGTTTCAGCACCAAGTCCATCCTTCCCGGCAATTACTATTTGAGGTTGCTGTTGTTGTGATGAGGTTGATGAATAAACATCAGATGGATAATTGAGTTGCTGATCGGATGGAAGTAATTCAGTTGCTTCTGGATTTGTTATATTTAAAGTTTCTGATGGATAGATACGATATGTTGCACCGGTAGTACTTTTCTCTGGGAAAGAGGAATGTACAAGTAAACCGGCTACATCTTCAGTATCATTCATAAGGTAACCATCATTAAATAATTGGGCTTTATAGCTATTTTGATAGCTTCCAGATATCCCATCCATGTAGGATGTAAACTTCGAAGAACTGGCGCTGGTGGACTTTATGTCATTATGATGCTGAGGTGGTGAAGCTGCTGGCGGACTAGGAGAGGAGAGTGGAAATAATGAGCGTGATAAGGGACAAGGTACTAGTGGATAACATGGTCGTAAGGGAGAACAAAAGATTGGACAGGGTGATGTAGCAGGATAAAAAACTACTGGACGACACAGTGGAGGTAAATGAGGACGGAGTGATGGTTTTGGTGGTGAACAAGGTAGCAAAGGTGGAGAACAGAATACAGTGTCAGATAGTCGACAAAGTAGTGCTCCTGAACGCTGTTGATACGGATGATGTGGCCGTGATTGTGGTTGTGGTAGTTTAGGGAAATATGCTTCGGTTGTTGATAGTATCACAAATATCAGCATAGATGAAGTTAGCTTTTCATTCAAAATCTCCTGAAACAAAGTAGTCATTTCAGCAAATTTTAAATAAATGACAAGTCATTCTAGTTTTCGATAGTCATAGGAATAATATATTAGTTTTTTAACAAATCAAATTTGATTGAATCTAATATTTTCATTTGATTTTTTGAGATTTGAAAAATTGAAATACAAACGAAAAAAGGACTTTTTTACTTACCACCCCACTTATCTATTATTTTTACCAGTCATTTGACTATCATTATTGCGATGTCAACCATTTATTGTTCACATCTGCATGACGACAACACTTTTTTCCAAATGAAATACTATGGAAAGACTAATCAACCAGTTTTTACATTTAATATTGCAAATCATTTATATCTCATTATCACTTCATAAGTAATATCACAGTTTTTATATTCAGGGAAAACTGGATGAAAAAAAGTTCAAACAAATGTGGGAATGAACAAATTGAAACAATTTTTAGGGAAGGACAAGTTTGAGTGGGAACTGTTGAAAATATTCTGTGATTATTGGAAATATTCTATAAATGCTGGATGATCCTTTTAGGACAGTAACATATTTGTGAAGTACTAATAAAATAGTCACGTTTCTCATGGTGCTACTCACTATTCAAACAATACAACTTTTTGGATCAGCTAAATTATAATGTAGATTTTCACCGATGAAAAAATGTTTGGGGAAATTACAATTTTGCATTTATGAATTATCACATTCCGGCATATTGAAATGGAAAATAAAACATATGCAAATTAGGAATAATCTGCTAATTTTTAATAATTTTTTCCAATTTTAAATTTGTTCGTTGAGTTTTTGATCTTATAGCTAATACTTTTGTTTAGAATTCGAATTGCTTCTTTTCATTTGATAGATTCCATCTCTATCTCCTTCTGATTCTTCGTTGTCGAATTCCAATTCGAATCTTGCAGTACTTTGTACTTCACTTCTTGTACTGCTTTTTGGATTATGTTTTTCTTTTTGTATTCAAGTATCTAAACCTTTAAATAACTAAAAGAGATTTTTAGTTCTATTCACCATGTAACTACGCTTTATTTCAAAATTAATAAATAAATTGAAATATAGGCAAATATCTAATTATATTCCTCAACGATAACATATATTTCATAAAATTTACTCAGCAATAAAATCAAATTAAAATTTTTCATAAATGAGCAAATTACAGTCGCGTTTAGTCATCATAAAACGGATGGTTAAAATATCAACAATAAATTATTGAAGAAATAACTGTTTATTTTCAATTAACATAAATTCAAACAAAATTAAAATTCGAAAAAATAAGGAATTCTTTTGTTTTCTGTAATAAGAAATACTTTAATTTAGAACTAACCCTCCTATAAATCTTTCGTTCCTTTCTATTTTTCACATAGGTTTTTTTTACTGACTTTCAAACTCTTTCCTTAAAAAAAAGTCTTACCCCGAAATTTATTCATTTTTTTCCCAAATTGAATTATATTTAATAAAATAACTTGGAAAAATGCAAGAACTTAATAACTTTTTCAAATTTTCGATTCAAATTTATGAATTGCATTTAAATTCTTGATCGTTTCATATAACTAATAAGTAGAAGACCTCCCGTAATTAAAAGTTTTTACGGACGGTTGTGCATTTACGGACTGTCGCGCAAAACGAGTTGAACCTAATTGAGACCGATTTTGGCTTGTATTTCTTATTATATATTTGTAGTTTTGGAGTCTTCTACATTCACAAGCAACAAGGATAATTTGTCTCACTGAACACTGACACTGTTGAGTGGAATTAATTTTCACCTGAGATGTCACCGGTTGAAGCGATGTCAATGATTCTGATGATACTGTTGCTTGGGCTAAAAAAGATACTAGTATGAGAGAATTTAATATTAGCAGTACTTGGAAATATTTTAAGTAGCGCAACTGGCTTCGTATTTTGCCTAAGCTGAAATTTTAAAATGTAAAAAAATCTATGAAGACTAAATTTGGAAAAGTTTCTCGTTATCTTAATGCATTGTTTCATTATGACGCAGTAAGTACTGTACGATAAGAAATAATTTTCATTTTTAAGTTAAGACTTATTGGAATTCTATTAGAAAATAAATACGGCAAAGAATCTTCAATGGAAAAAAAAAAGAAGAAAATGAACCGTTGATAAATCGCAGACGGAAATGTGAGCGTCTGGAAGCATGTGAAATGATAATTAGCATTTCACCTTCAGAAAGAATTTCACCTAAAATTGGTAAACAACAGGAACGAAATCCAGAAACTTGCAAGTCAATTTTATGCTTCACTTCTACGTATTCCTCACATACCGGATCACATTTGTAGTATGCTTCCGTAAGCTCAAAACGGATACGACCATTTGGCTGAAATTTAAATTTTCAAATGGAAAATGTAAAATTTCGTAAATTTCTTTAAGTTACTTTTCAGTACAATAACTTTTTGAATTAGTATTGTATTACATTGCATTTGATGATTTTTTTTTTTTAAATTTGAAGCGTAAATTAAGTTATTTTGCTATACCTTGAATGCGCGACAGATTCAAATGAACCTTTAATAGATCTAATGCCAAGAAAAATAAAGAAATTCTGAATATTAAAAGTAATGAACTTCATATTTTTCCTGAACATTCTCCATAGAACTCTTTCTACAAGCAGGTAAACTTAATAATGCAAACATATTCTTGTTATCAAAATTATGTAAATTTTGTTTTTTGACAATTTATGAATACATCTCGAATTTTTCATTTGTTAAAGTGTCTGAAATGGAGCCAGTAAATCTCAAAGGGCGGTTATTTAATAAATTTGAGTAAAATATTCAATTTCATTAAGTAGGATAAACTATCACTAACTGATGGAAAAATCATACACCGAATACGATTCCTGATCAATCGCCTGAAAAGAGCTCATAACATGAGTTTGCTAAATTATTTATTTCATTCCATCCGTTAATTATCATGAAATTAACCGAATAAATTTTCCAGTAGCATTTTGATGAGCCGGTATATTCTAACGTTTGCCATTCATTACTGGCCAGTTGTTCATAACCACATGCTTAAATAAATAACTTCATTTATGTATCAGTGTTAAAATTTCATATAACATCCGAAAATTTTCAACAATTTCCTAAAAGTTTATAAAATTCTTTTAATTTTCTTGAAATATGAGAAAATTCCGGAACAAAAATTTCCCTCAATATCCTCAAATTCCAAAAATTTTTGAGATGTGCAATAAATTGCTACAATCTATGAGGAACAGTCTGATTTAGTGAAATATTTCCGCCAATTTCCTTTTAACAAAATTTCTTTTCTTTCATAGTCATTGAAGTTTAAAATTCAATTCAACTTTTTAATAATTTCTTCAATTTTTATTGGCGACTATTTCTTGTATTCTTTCCAGCAAAATTTTCGATGAAAAATTAGCAAAATGATTTCTAGAGAAGAATTCACTCACAGGAATATTGTAGGTCAGTGCATTCTTGACCGCCAAGACCTTCTGGACATTTGCAAATATTGCAATTGTTAGGATCTGGATAGCCACCATGACGACATCGTAAATTTGTTATCCGACATCTATCTGATTTAACTTATTTCAATGTTTCGTTCTTTTTGCAGAATTTTTCTATTTACACTTTAAAACAAAATTTAATGAGCAAAATCTATGAATTATTTGATTTGCAAGAAAGAATGATAAAGTGTTACTGGATAGTCTAAAGGTCAGTCCATTACATACCTGTGTACTTTGTATTTTCGAGTCAATGAACTTATAACTGACCGTAACACATTGTACCTGTTTCCTTGTCAATCAATCAAATAAATAAATATCAAAGTAAGGAAATAGATATTACTAGCGATTAGATAGAAATTCTGATGATGAATTAAAATACCTATCAAAACAATAAAGTAAATTGATTTGTTTGAAATCGGTAAATGTTGGCGAGACACGATTACCAACTGTTGAACGATACTTTACATCGATTGGATCCACCGTAAAGTCCATAAATCGTTTTGCAAATGTCTGAGAGAAATTTATATGCAAATAAATTATTTATATGGGCAAATTTTATTGTCTTATTCCTTCAAATTTAAAAAAAAATTCGATTATATGGATTTTAATCGCATTCTTTTAAGTTACCGATGAAATTACTTAAATCATTTTGAGTACAAAACAGTAAGTCAATGATTCCTACAAAAATTTTTACAGCATAGGTGGAAATTATTGAAATTTTTATCGAAGTAATTAATTCCATCAAAAGAGTTTAGTGTTTGAGTAAAGAATTCTTTTTTTTTTTTCCCCC